CAACATCTATGGACATTTTTGTTTAAGAATTCCAGCACCCAAAGTTCTTTTGGTTTTTTGTAAAACGTCCCAAGGTGTTCCACAGGACGGTGATTGAAAAAAACTGAAATCAAGCCACTGAAGGCAATATTCAGACAAATTACTAAAAGCTTGGTCAAAGTGATGTTTTAAAGAGCATTCTGGAGGACAGAAATTTAGAGGCTGGGGGTTTTCCAGAGTTGAAGGCCTAGGGAAATGAAAAAATAAACAGCCATCAACAATGGAAAATTAAGATCAGAAGTTTGACAGAATTGGAGCAGTGCATTAACAGTGGAGGGCTGGAATGTCACATTAGGGAGGAGACAGACCATGGATAGACTTGAAAACAGGTAAAAATGTTAAGACTCTTGCCAGAATGAAGTCAATCTAGGGCAGTAACACAAGTGACCAGTGATCTAGACTGAGTATAAATTACTGGAAGAACGCAGGAAGCCAGGCGGCATCAGAGGAAAGGAGAAGTCAATGTTTCGGGTTTTACCATTCTTCAGTCCTGAAGAAGGATAATACCCGAAACGTTAACTTCTCCTTTCCTCCAGATATTGCCTGGCTTGCTGTGTTCTTCCAGCCTCCTGCTTGTCTACCTTGGATTCCAGCGTCTGCGTTTTTTTTGTCTTGAACGGAGTATAAATTGCAATGACTTCATATTTCCTGAAAGTAGAAGTTGGGATATCAATCTGAGAGTATTGGATTAGAATATTCAAAATAACAAAGGTTTGAAATTAGATTTCAGCAGATTAGCTGAGGCAGAAGTGCTATTGGTGACATGAAAACAAAAACAAACAAATTGCAGCAAGTTTGGTAGCATTCATGGAGACAGAAACAGAGCTAATGTTTCCAGTCCAATGCAAATCTCCTTCAGAATTGAAGACAGATATGGAAAAGTGATGGGCGTTATAGTGTAGAAAAAAAGGTGAGTAGCAGCAAATAGAACAGAAAGGAAGGGCGAGGGAAATTACAGATCACAGGTGTCACAGAACAGAAAGGGTGTGGTAGATCCAGAGTCAGTATTAATGGCAGATTTAGGTCAGCTCTGCTAACAGAAAAGCAAAGAAACAGACACTGGGTTGGAGCCAGGGAAGAGGTGTTTAAGCCAGGGAAAACAAAATGGAGAAATCAAAGAATTGTGAGCACTGGAGATCGGAATCAAACAAAAACAGAGATAGCTGGAGAAACTCAGCATCTGTGGAGGGAAAACAGTTAAAGCTTCAAGGCCAGTGAACTTTCTTCAGAACTGACAGCAGCTAGAAAAGGTGGCGTTTATGCTGATGACAGGGGATTGGGGGAATACGAGTGAATGGATAAGTGTACATGAGCCCAGAGAGAAAAGAGAAAAAAGGTAGATAAAGGGATCGTTGATAGCAAGCCAGAGAAAAAAATTTAGGTAGGTGATAATGGCTATGAGCTTGCTGGAGGAACAGCGCCTCATCATCTGCGTGGGGACATTAAACATTTCAGGACTCAACACTGAGATTAACAACTTTAAAGCACGAACATATCCTTTCATTATCTTTTAACTACCTCCTATGCCCCAGGTCTTGTCATGACATAGGTTCCTTACAGCACAGACAATCCATTTTCAACTACTCAGAGTGCCCATTATCACCTACCTAACTTCTCTTCTTCCCTGGCTTACTGTTCTCTATCTGGGCTTGGCCTCCACCTATTTGCTCACTGCTTCCTCCCAACACACCAATCACCATTGCTGGAAAAACTCAGGTGGTCTGTCAGCATCTGTGGAGAGCAAAGTTAATGTTTCAGGACCATTCCAGCAATTGCTGATTTTGCTTCTGATTTACAGTTCTTTGGATTTTTTTGAAGGACAGAGTTCATTGTCTGAAGTTGTTGAAGTCAGTGTTGTGTCCAGAGCTTGTAAAGTACATAAATGGAAAATGAGATGCTGTTTCTCCACTTGTGTTGGGCTTTCCCTGGAATAATTCAGCAAGCCTAGGGCAGAAATTTGAACACCAGAGCAAGATGCAGTATTATAATGACAAGCGATCAGGAGATCAAGCTTGTGGACTAAGTGGATTTCCAAAGGCAGTAATCTCGATTGAGAGAAATTCACGTAAATTGTGCTTCATATAGGAGGCATATTTGAGGCTACAGACTGTGGAGAGGGAGGAGGTAAAAGAACAACTGTTACACTTTGTGGGTTGCACGAGAACGTGCCAAGGGAAGAGCACGAGATACTGGGTGTGATAGAGAAACGTATTCTGGAAGGAACTGTCACTTTGCAGGGGAGGGATGGGGCGATGTGCTTGGTGGTGGCATCATGATGCAAGTGGCAGAAAAGGCAAAGGATGATGTTTCGGCCATGGAGGCTAGTGAGGTAGAAAGTGAGAACAAGTGAACTTTACCAGGACTCACGGAGTGAGGGGGAAGGGCCGAAGGTAGAAGTGCTGGAAATGGGTCAGACCCAGTTGAGGGTCCTGTCCACCAGTGAAGATGATGTTCAGTTAAGGAAAAAGGAAGATGTTGGAAGCATATTGTGCACGATTGCATCGTTGGAACAGATGCGACAATGAAGAAGCTGGGAGAATGCAACAGAATCCAGTGAGCATGTGCAGCTGAAGTAGCTGAGACAGTCAGTGGGTTTGTAATGAACATTAAAATAATACTAATCACCCCCAATTAACAGATTTTCATTTTGCTTTCAGCAGACTTTCTGCCAATAGCACCTATTAACACCACGCTGGATTTCTCTTCTCTTCAACCATCACCACTCCTTTTGTTTTTTGTTGTATAATATCAATGATCTCTGACCTTCTAGAAAGGGATCACGATCCTTTGGCAACTCCTTGGTGTTCGTGTGTCTGAGCCAGGAGGCCCTTGTTCAATTACCACCTGCTCCAGAGGTGCATAGTAACATCTCTCAATGGGTTAATTAGAAAATATGAAAAGATACAAGAGAAGCAGTGGAGGAGGATGGTATGATCAATTATGTCGAAGGCTGCAACTGGTCAAGAATTACAGAGTTCATTTGTTATTGTAAGACACATCGAAACCAATTTTACAGATCTAAATATTTAACAACAATGAAGGTAGCCATTCCAGCACTGCTGGCATCCCAAGAACATAAGACAGTGGTGTTTATGCACACACAAGCAAAGTTAGACACCTGTTACTTACTCTTCAGGAGCACAGCTACATCAAAATAAATTTGGTGCAATGGCATCCAGTATCAACTTTTATGTAGTGGTATCACCCTTTTCTCTGAACTAGAAAGTTGCAGATTCAGGTCCCCTCAGTTATGGGTTGCCCACTTTAAGAATACTTAATCTAGACTAATATTGCAATGCTACAATTTGAGCAAAACTATCTTTCGGATTAAACATCAAACCAGAGGCTTCACCTGCCCTCTCAGGTGGATGTAAAAGATCCTTGAACAACATGTACAAACATTTTCACATCATACTCATCAATGCTTATCTCTTAATAACATCTGTCAAGAAACAATATGATGTTCACAGCCATGGAATGCTTAAATTCTTGTTTTGCCCTCTTCTGTCACAGGTTCAATGACAGGCCTCAATTGGGGTCAAAGAGCAGATTTAACACTGACTCATGAATCTCTCAGCTGTTTTGGGGTCTTGCTGTCCCTGAGATGACTAGCAGTGAAGCACTCAGTGTCATTGAGTTTGTCATTGGCATTATAAACACAACAAAAAAAAAGTGCTGCAGAAACTCACAAGTCATATTGAACTTGAAATATTAACTGTTTCTCACCCCTCAGATGCTGCCAGACATGCTGTGTTTCTCCAGCATCCACAGGACTTTGCTTTTACTATAGCAACACAAATTCTACTTAATTCTAAGTATTCAGAAATTGTAACAGATGATTCAACCACATTGAAATTTGAACAAAAATATCACGTGCAATGATTTGGTTGAATTTTGAGACTCTTCTAATTTGAATCTTTAACATAATAAGTTGAGCCAAGGCACTTCACAGGGCCATTGTAAAATAAAACCTTCATAGTCACTTCAACAAGATAGTTTAAATGAATTGCCAAAGTAAAATTTCACAGCCGAACATTTCACTCATATGAATTAACCGTATAACATATTTTCACTTGTAGATAAACCTCTCAAATCCCTGTAAAACAATACAATGTATTCATCAGTGACATGCTTAAATCCTTGGTCATGCCTTCTTAGGCAGAAATTCAAAAAGTGGGACTCTACTGGCAATCTAAACAAGAAGGCTTAAAAACCTAAAATGACAAAATACATCAAAAGACATTTCAGAATTTCAGAAAAGACAACAGTTTTAAGGAATAAAATGCAAATAGAATGAATTAGCAATCAGAAACATGTTACGTGTTTAACAAATAAACACGACACTGTTAGCTCAATAGGTACTTAAATTGATAAGGAAGCCAATTTACATAAATCAGGTTAGCAATAGATAACTAAACTTTTATCATAATTAACTAGCCAATATTTTATGTACCGTAATTCTGTAAAGCAGCTGTACTTCGTATTCCACCTATAAGTAATGAGTAAAATTATAGAAGGCAAAGTAGAACTTAGAATTATATTAATGTACTGAAGTTAGTGCATCAATATGTCACACTTTGTTTAGATGATCATCTTTTGACATGGGCAGATGGCAGCTTTGCCCAAAATACCATATCATGAAGTTGTAAACACAAGCAAGTTAAATCAGGCATTAAATATCCCTATTTCAAGATCCACAATTGGCGAGGCACTTCTCTCAGGAAATAACAGTTCTCAATCTTTCTCATAGCCCAGATTTGAAGTAGCAAGCATGAGGAAAATGCCATTTTCTCTCTGTCAAATTAATAGAGTTCTCTTGGACCAAAAAAACTGTATGATAGAGGTATTATTTACATTGGGTGCTATTGTACATTTGACCTGTGTTCAGTGAGTGGTGCTTACACACATGCAAACTACAATACAGATCTGTGCTCTAATAAAGAGTTCGAGTATTCCCCAAATTGCACTGGTGTGAAATTCAGCATCTTTTATTTGAGGCAAATATTGTTCTTAGCATGGACACATTTTTAAACAACCAATGTTGGTCCGGTTCTTCAAGGTGATAATCTGGAATCCAAAATTAGCTCATTTAAAGGAATGATCGCTTAAACATTAAAACAGTATAGCATTCATGAATTCAAGTTCCAAGTATTATTTTACTAGTACAAAGATCATAATTTAACCACAAGCTGTGTTTTCTTCACTAACTAATAGAATCATTTTTATTAGTATGACACCCTTTGATGTGGGAAGAGGGGCATGGGATAAAATCTCATACTAATTACGTAAAAAAGTAATGAAGTTGCGATGTTGTAGTAGTCAGGCACCCAGTTCCAGCGATGTTGTTTATAAGTGAAGTAGATTTTACCAATAAATAATGGTTTTACTGCTTGATGCTAAAGGCACATGGATTCAATGTGTACTTGACCCGTTGGAAGTCTGGATCAATTGTTGGGACAATTTACCCTAAGCTTTCAATTTAAACTCAATGAAAAAGTACTTCAATTTAATTATTTAAAAGATAGTCTCAAGAATAAAGCTAATGAACAGATTTTTACAAAAATATTCATCCAGTTACTTCAGTCCTTTCATATTCAAAAATATAAAGTTAAGTTTGTTTCATCCAAAAAAATACAAAATATGCAAATACAAACATAAGCATAATGCATCAGAACATTATTAAAAATTAAAGCATCTGGATTTTTTTTGTTTCAGAAATTAATTTACACTTAGAATGGTTCTATGATGCCGATTTCTTTTCAATTCTGAATGCAAGCTGAATTCTGTCAGCTATTATTTGTGATGTTGATATTATACCAGCAGGGCCACACTGACCAAGTAACACCAACATTCAAAAGTGGTTCAGTTGTATTAAAAATGATTACAACACAGAATACCTTTGGCCCAGTGTCCATGCCAGCTTTCTGCAAAAGCATTACAGGTAGTCTCACACCCAAGCCCTGCAAATTCTCTCTTCAGGTGCCTGTCCAATTATTTCTTGTGTAAGTCAGGACTGAATCTGCATCATTGACACCCTAAGAAGTGCATTCTAGATCCTAACTACCGAACTACTTGCTGCTTCAAAAGCCTTTTCCCCATATTGTTGTTGCTTCTTTTGGCAATCACCTAAGATCCGTCTTCTGAATCTCTATCCTTCTACCAATGGAAAAGTTTATCTCCATTTACTTGGTCTGGATCTCTTAAGATCTTGAATACCTCAAATAACTCTACTCTTGACCTTCTCCAAGGAGAACAATCTCAGCTTCTCCAATTTGTCCATATTACAGGAACCATTCTCATAAAGCTTTTCTATATCCTCTCGAAGACATTCATATCCTTCCTAAAGTGAGGTTCCCAAATTGGACATACTATACTAGTTAATTCCAGTTAACTCCAGGTATGTACACATGCTCCAGTTTTATCAGAGAGAATTTGTCACACTGCAATCACAACCCTCTCTCTTTGGCATTTTGCCTGTATAGGTTGTTGTAAAAAAATTCTTAACTTGAACTCTTTTTTTTTGTTCAAAATTACAAAACGAGCATGAACTATTATAATGAAATACCTGAATTACATTCTACGTGGTGCTGCTGTGTAACACATTTTTGAACAGACTAGTGTTGACCACACATAGCATACTATATTCATTATACGGTCCCCAACTCTGCATTTGATTACAAATATTAAACTGCATTGCCAACAATTGGGTGCTCTTATTCAAAGATGTTTAAAAAGTACTCAAAAAAAATTTGCTCAAAAAATTCCCCAGATTATTTTCCCTACATCGCTCGATAGAAACACTTGGGATCTATTAAATCTGGAGCACAGTAAAAATGCTGTTTCATTTGGAAATTGAATTACTCAAAGTGATCTCCTTTTGGACTACATTTTTACTTGTCAGGAAATCTAATTTCAAAACACTGGAAAGATGAAAGGAAAGCACTCAGGAAACTGTGTTGCAATAACAGAATGATGTGTAGAATTGGCTTGTTCTGAGTGAGTGAAGATAATTTTAAAATAATCCAGCAGCACAAAACCAGCAGCATCTTGTGATACTTTTCTCAACTAAGTTAAAAATACTTATCTTTTAAATAAACAGCACGTTTTTCATAAACGTCCCAATGAAAGGTCACAGATCTGAAACACGAATTTTATTTCGTTCTTCACAGTTGCTGCCAGGCCATAGTATTTCCTGCATTTTGTTTCGTAGATTTCCAGCATCAGCAATATTTCACTTTGGTATTCTTTTCATTCTGTACTTATTTTCTCAAACATTGACTATATGTCCAGTTTTCAATTTATAGGTGTTGAATTATCCTTCCAACTTAAAATGAACTAAACTTACTACTGTTATCCTCAGTACAGGACTTTCAGTCATAGTGCCAAGGCATTGGTTCATTGTACGTAGAATATAAATACTTCAGTGTAAGAAAACTATAACTCAAAAGGGTTCAAAAGATGTACATTGAAATGCCAATCTAATGACTTGATATATTTTAACAATCTTCACACACCATGCTATTTCTTAATTTTAACAACATTTACAGTTTGTAAATTTTGTTTGTAAGAGAGACAATGACTTTGCTCCTTAGAGCAAGTGCACGACTCTCAAAAAGGTAGCCAAATAACATTAGTTCCCAGTGTACTGAAATATTGGACCAGAGATTATACACAGAAGAAAAATACTGCAGATAGTGAAAATCAAAAAAGAACACAGAAGCTGTTGGAAATATTCAGTTGGTCAGGCAGCATCTATGAAGAGAGAAGCAAAATTAATGTTTCAGATTAATGACTATTGGTCAGAATGAAAAAAATTAGAAAGCTGGACATGTGCAGAAGTCAAAAGGGAGGTGGAAGAAAAGAACAGTGGGGAAGGTCTAACTTTTTGGAGGAGAGTACTTACATGGAAAAAGCAGGTGGTAAGAGGAGAATGAAGCAACAGGAATGGTCCTAGAGGAGTAATAATGGCAGAGAAACCATTATCAGTACCTACTATTCAAAACAGGTGGGAGCAATTGTCATAATCAGATATTGTTGAATTCAGTGTTGTCTTTTGAAGGTTCTAAAATGCCTAACTGAAAGATGAACTGCTGTCTCTTAAGTTTCTGTTAAATTTAATTGAAACAGGATATAAATCCAAAGACAGATAGACAAAAAAGCAAGTGGGCTAAAAAAAATTAAATGGCTAAGAGTCATGTTTACAATCTGTATGGAGGTGTTCAGCAAAACAATCTTAAATGTCCCAGTTTTGAAAAAGTACTTTGTGAACAGCAAATTATGAATACTGAACTTAAAGAAATGCAAGCAAATCAGTTCACTTGGAAGTAGTATTATGGGGAAGAGTGAAAAAGTATGTGGTGCAAAGATAGTTAGTGCACTTTCCACAGTTACACAGGAGGGTGCCATAAGATGATGAGCAGGTTCCGGGGCTACTGAAGAGCAGACCGGATTATTGCAGAGGTACTCATTTTTTTCAGGATGCTTTCAGGAAAGGAAAAGGTGGTTATGGATCTGGCAGAGATTTCAAAAGGATGATCCACTGAATATGGAAGCTGGGGAAGTGAATGGTGATGATAAAGGAAGCCTGATTGTGATTTTGAAAAAGAAGAAAGGACAAAATGGAAAAAGGTGAAGACAGTTGAGGGCTCTGCCAGCTATTGTGGCAGGAATAAAAAAACCCTACTGGAAGCATAAATGTGGTAATATCAACAGAGTAGATATAACTGAGCTGATAAAACCAGGAAAACAGAAGAGTCCTGAAATGATGCAAGGTCAGAAGAAAGGTCATTGAGGGAGCTGTGGGAGTCAGTGGCCTTATTGTAGATATTAGTAGAGAGTCAATCAATATAAATGGTTGACACCTGTTGTTTGGCAAAAGGTGCAGAGGCCCAACCTCAACACTGACAAATCCATCTAACCACATTTGCTTGACAATCTCACCAGTGAACATCAAGCCATTGATTCCCAGTCATTGATATCAGCCACTTTAGAGTTATTTCCCGGACACACACCACCTGGTAGTCTCATTCTTTCAGATTGCTCTCTGCCAACTTATTTCTTCCAAATACAAACTGTATCTTTGCTGTACTGAACATCTTTGTTTAGTACACATGCTTGATCCAGAGCTTCTAGTTTGCTTGCCATTTTAGTTCTCCGTCAAATTCCAAGCTTGACCATCTTATGGTTCCAATGAAGGTTCCAATGGAACTCCACAAGCTTGAGGAACAGCAATGCCTCTTCAGGTAAGAGATAGTAAGAACTGCCGATGCTGGGGTCAGAGATAACACAGTATGGAGCTGGAGGAGCACAGCAGGCTAGGCAGCATCAGATGAGCAAGAAGATTGACGTTTCGGGTCAGGGCCCTTCTTCAGCAATGGGGGAGGAGGAAGGGAGCTCAGAAATAAATAGAGAGAGGAGAAGTGGGGCTGGGGAAAGTAGGTGGGACGGTGATAGGTAGGGAGTGGTGGGGATTGGTCAGTGAGGTGGGTGGGGCGAATAGGTGAGAGAGATGATGGACAGGTTGTGTCAGTCAAGGAGGCATGGTCACTGGACCCAAATTGTCAACTGATTTCTCTCCACAAATGCTGCCAGACCTACTGAGTTTTTCCAGCAATTTCTGTTTATGTTTCTGAAATCCAGCATCTGCAGATATGTTAGCTTTTTATTTAGTAGATTACAGCTTTCTGATCACAACCACTACTCCAATTTTTTCAGGCAGCAGGTGTTCGTAATGGTTTTGCTGTTGCAATTTCCAATTATCCTAAACCTAGCTTTTGTCTCTTTCCATGTGCCATCATTGTCCCCTACAACTTCCACACTCATTCCTTTTGTCATTTAATCATCCCGCCTTCCACTATATCACACACATACCTTCATTTATGTTATTTGCTCCTACACCTGTGCTTGCTTGAAACCTTTAATCTCTAATTTGACCAGTACTGATGAAATGTTATCACCCTGAAACACCAGTTCTTTCTTTCCACATATACTATCTGACCTCAGTATATCCTGTATTTTATATTTGTTTTAGAAATTTTGGACTAAACAATAGTACTGAACAATTTTCCACCTAGTTTGACAACAGCATCAAGTCTCAAATATTAACCAAATATTAAATGCACCTTAAACCGAGCCAAATCATGAATTTTGCATCCTAATCTGTAAAATTCTTCTCTTACCAAGGTATTTTCAATTATGCTATTTCAACAAAAGCAAAAAAAATTCCAATCAGGACTGCACCTGAATCTGGCAGAGATTATTTTAATAAGGGAACCAAATGCAAGCAAATGTTTCTGTGCAAACACTAAACTATATCACAGCAGATTTTATACAAAGTAAAGTGGTCCCTTCAAATTAACTTGTTAAAAAGAGCAATTATTAACTGGCATGTAAACTGGAAGAGCTGCACCCAACAATAATTATTTTGAAAAGACTGTTCTCTCAAACTAAGTCTCTTTGCCATTCAAAAACTTGCTTGTTCCAAGCAACACCAAGTAACTAAGCATATGATATCTATTCAAAGCACAGAAAATAAATTCCATCATAAACTTGCATTTAACACCTTGATGTCATAATTTAAAAATGTACAATTTTCATTCATACAGCTTTATTAATAATTTATGAATTTCTTTGGGCATCATTGGGCCTATACTTCAAAACATTCAACATATTGTTACAAGTAGAATTACAAGTCCATTAGAAACATGGACTAAAAACATTAACATATTTCAATATATGTGAAGGTAACGCATCACTCCTGCACAAAATCAGTTAAGTCTTTTTTCTATTTAATTGACACAAAGTACCTTTACACACAATACACCCCTCCAAACTTTCACAGAAAATCTGGTAGTGGTCACGCAATTATTCAAGGAACCTATCTCACTATCAGTAGTGAACCAGTTTTAATCTACATACATTTTCAGAAAGAAACTTATGTCAAGGTGGAAGTGGAAACAATCCGAGAAGTACTGACGTAAATTAAAAGAAATAAAAGACAGTCATATAATTGAAAGAAAAAAATATTGTGTATTTCACACAATATTAAAACACTGGAAGGATTACTGCAATGTGAAAACTCAAGAAGAGATAAAATGCAACAGATCTGCAAATACAGTACATGACGAGGAATCATTAGCTCCATAGGCCTGCATAATTTCCATGAAGACCTGAAGGCAGCGGGCCCCCTGCAACAAACAGCTTTGTTCCAGAGGAGTCATAACAATGTGTATAGACTGCATTCGGGAAGTGGTCGATGTCTGAAAAGTAATTCCTCCATGTTTCATCGTGATTCTGTGAGTATATAAAATAAAAACAAGAATCAAATTAAAAGTGCAATAAAATATTCATCAATTATCTAAAAAGTAAATCAATGAAAACTAATTAAAAGCAACAGTGCAGTTACAAGGAACATACTAAAATAAACAAGGAGAAATGTTCTATCAGTGTCCCAGAGATTAAGTAAATTATCTCTGAGTCATAAAGCGCACAAAAATCCTAAATTCACAGTATCTGGTCTGTGCTCAACCTGTGAAGAGGTAAAGACTAAAACATTTTTCATTTTGAGGAAGGAAAAATATTCAGGGTTCTCCAGACGGTTGTATGCTCTCTTCAAGGTTTATGTACACACTGGAACAGGAGACAATGAGAGTTAGGTGTGAAGGCCTTCACAATCAACTGCCAAGGTAAATTTAGTGAGGCCATGAAACAATTAACAGATAAAGGAGCTATCCCTTGAAATGGAAAGAACAGTATGGACAAAAATGTTAACAAAAGCATTTAATAAATTATTCTTGTATGTAAGAGATCCAATATATTGTGCCCAGAAATCCTATTAACAGTGCTATAACTTCTTATACATTCTTGAACCATCGGTTAAATTCTTAAATGATCAAAGATACTTTCAACATGCTGACAGAGCAATTCAAAGTGGCAGAACAGAAATTTGAAAACATTGCACGGTACAGAAATCAACCTCAAGTCTCTTGTTTGGTCCTACAACCAGCACGTAGAACATAGATCATAGATGAAATGCACGTTACAAATACTAAATATGTTATAGCTTAAAATACTGTAGTGGCCAGTGAAGAAGGTTACCTCAGAGTACAACAGGATCTTGATCAGATGGGCCAATGGGCTGAGGAGGAGTTTAATTTAGATAAATGTGATGTGCTGCATTGTGGAAAGGCAAATCAGGGCAGGACTTATACGTGTAATGGTAAGATCCAGGGGGGTGTTGCTGAACAAAGAGACGTTGGAGCACACATTCATAGTTCCTTGAAAGTGGAATTGCAGGTAGACAGGATGGTGAAGTCGGCGTTTAGTATGCCTGCCTTTATTGGACAGTGCACTGAATAGAGGAGTTGGGAGGTCACGTTGCAGCTGTACAGGACATTGGTTAGGCGACTTTTGGAATACTGTGTGCAATTCTGTTCTCCCTGCCAAAGAAGGATGTTGTGAAATTTGAAAGGGTTCAGAAAAGATTTACCAGGATGTTTCCAGTGTTGGAGGGTTTCAGCTATAGGGAAAGGCTGAAAAGGCGAGGGCTATTTTTCATGGAGCATCGGAGGCTGAGGAGTAACCTTATAGAGGTTTATAAAATCATGAGGTGCATGGATAGGGTAAATCAACAAGGTCTTTTCACCAGGGTGGGGGAGTCCAAAATTAGAGGGCATAGGTTTAAGCTGAGAGGGGAAAGATTTAGGAGGGACCTAAGGGGCAACTTTTTCTCGCAGAGGGTGATGCGTAAATGGAATGAGCTGCCAGAGAAAGGGGTGGTGGCTGATACAATTACAACACTTAAAAGGCCTCTGGATGGGTAGATGAATAGGAACGGTTTAGAGGAATATGGGCCAAATGTTAGCAAATGGGACTAGACTTATTTAGGATATCTGTTTGGCATGAATGAGTTGGACCAAAGGCTCTGTTTTCGTGCTGTACGTCTCTATGACTTAAAACTGCACTTGAGATTAGATCCTCTCAGTAAATTTATTTAATTTAATAATATTTTGTAATTTTGCTCCTCCTAATGATGAGGTAACACAGGGGTTCCCAAACTGTTCTGCTGGGACCTTATTTCATTGCAAATTGTGACAGCGGAAGTGGGTCCAGTCTGGTAAGTCTTAGGTTAACCCAAGACATTGAAATTTTGTCCTCTTCAAAACAAGGATCTATCAATAATGGATATAAAACTTGGAGTCACAGAGTCATGCAGCACGGAAATATACCCTTCAGTATAATGACTTTGATTAGACTTATGCTAACTTTAGAAGATAAGTGGACACCCATCAGCAAATGATCAAGCATTTTCCTATCCAGGATGACCATTTAGCAGAAAGTATCTTTTATACAAATCCTGCTATACAGCTACTTATGATTTAAAAACTACTGAACAAATCTAAGACTCAAATATTTCATTGAAAGCAAAGCAACATAAATTGTAAACACCGCACAAAAGTCGCAGCATAGTTAAAGATGTTTTGCCCAGACAAAATCTATCTCCTCCTTAAATTTACTCAATATCCCTGCATCCACCACAGTTTAGGGTAGTGAATTCCACAGATGCATGACCCCTTCAAGAAAAATAATTTCTCCTTAGCGGTTTTAAATCTGCTTCCTTTATCCGAAAACAAATACCTTTCATTATAAGAGATAGTAAGAACTGCCGATGCTGGAGTCAGAGATAACACAGAGTGGAGCTCTGAAACATCAATTTTCCTGCTCCTCTGATGCTGCCTGGCCTGCTGTGTTCCTCCAGCTCCACACTTTTACCTTTCATTCTAAGTTGTCCAAAGAGACATCTTCTCTGCATCTACTCTGTAATCCCTTTTAGCATCTTATATATATCTCGATTAGATCCTCCTCACACTCTTCTAAACTCCAAACAATATCGGCTAAATTGCTCATCTTTTCTTCAGAAGACAAACTCATCTCTGGAATCATTCTAATGAATCTCCTCTGAACTACCTCCAATCCAACCACATCCCTCTTCAAATAAGGGGACCAAAATTATGTAAACTACTCCAGGTGCAGTCTCACTAATGGCTTGTACAGGTGCAGCAACACTTTCCTACAGTTATACTCTATTCTCTTAGCAATAAATGCCAAAATTCCATTTGCCTTCCTGATTACCCACTGTACCTGCATACCAGTTTTCTGCGATTCATGCAAGAGAACACCCAGATCCGTGTGCACCAAAAGACACTGAAGTTTCTCTCCATTTAGATAATAAGTTGCCCTTACATTCCTCCAAAATAGATAACCTTCACATTAAACTTCATCTGCCAACTGTTGGCCCATTCACCTAACCCATCCATGTCCATTTGTAAATTTCATATTTTTTCATTACAACTTACTTTGCGATCTATTTTAGTGCTATCTGTAAATTTGGCTTCAATCCTCACATCCAAGTTGTAAATACTTGGGGCCCAAGGACCGAACCCTATGGCACCCCACTAGTTATGTCTTGCCAACCAGTAAAAGACCCTGTTATCCGGACTCTACTTTCTGTTGGTTAGCCAATCCTCTTTCCGAGCTAATAAATTACCCCTATGCCATATGATCTTACCTTGTGGATGAATCTTTTACATGGCATCTTATCAAATGCCTTCCTCAACTCCAGATATGCTACATCTGTAGGATCGCCATGATCTGCATTGCTTGCTACATCTTCAAAGAACTCTAGCAAATTAGTTAGACATGATTTACCATTCACAAAACATGCTAACTCTGATGGCTTGGATTTTGACTTTCCAAATGTCCTATTATTACTGTACTTCCTTAATAATAGATTCTAACCATTTCCCATTGATACATATTAAACTGATCTACAGTTTCCTACTTTCTGCCTCACTTTTTAAATAAGGGTGTTATATTAGCATTTTTCTAATCCACCAGAACCTTTCCTGCATCCAGGAAATTTTGGAATAGTATTTCAAATGAATCTATTATCTCTGCTGCCACTTTCTTTCAGTTCTTATGATGTAAGCTGTCAGGGCTCAGAGACTTGTCTGCCTTCAATCCCAATACTGTGCTCAGTACTTTTTCTCTCATGATGATGATTGTTCTAAGTTTCTCCCTTTCCATAACTACTGCATTAGCATCATCCCAAGAGTAAAAGGTAATGTCTTCCACCATGAAAACTGAAACAAAGTATTGATTAGATGACTGCCATTTCTCTGTTCCCCATTAACTCCCCAAGGGACCAATATTCACTTTAACTATTCTCTTCTATTTTACATACTTATAGAAGCTTTTGCTCTGTTTTTATATTTTGCACTAGTTTTCTTTCATAAATTACCTTTGCTCTTTTTATTACATTTTTAGTAACCCTTTGCTGATATTTAAAAGTTTCCCAATCTTCCAGCATGCCACCACCTTGCAATGTGATATGCCTTTGTTTTTGTCTTTATGTTATCTTTAACATCCTTGTTTAGCCGTTGATGCTTTTCCACCTCTTAAAATCTTTCTTTTTTTTTAAGAATATAATGTAATTGGGAGCAACTGAGAATCTCCTTAAATATCTGCTACTGCTCATCAACTGTCCTATCTTTTAGTTTTCCCGCCCATTCCACCAGGGCCAAATCTGTCCTCATGCCTATGCCTACTTTCATTTAACTCTGGAACACAAGTGTGGAACTCCAGTTTCTTGCCCTCCAACTGAATTCGAAACTATATCACTCTTCCCTAGAGGACCCTTTACTATGAGATCGTTCATTAATCCCATTTCATTACACAATACCAAATCCAGAATAGCATGTTCCCTGGTTGGTTGCACAGAATATTGCTCCAAAAAACAAACACTAATGCAGTCAACAAACTCTCCCTCCAAGCTATCTTTGTTAATTAATCCAGCCTATACGCATTTAAAATCACCAACAAATACTGCTGCTAGTTTCTTACAAGCCCCCACTATTTCCTGGTTTGTATAGTGCCCCACTGCAGGAGACCATTTTGGGAACATATAATTACTCCCATCAGGAACTTCTTTCCCAACTGTATATTTCTATCCAGATTAATTCTTCATTTTGATTTCCAGTCCTGATATCATTTCTCACTGCAACACTGATCTCTTCCTTTAGTAAGAGAGCTACATCACCACCTTTTCCTTTTTGCCTATCCATCCAAAACAGACTGCCCTTGGATATTCAATTTGTAAGTACCAATTAAACTTTTAAGAAACTACTATATAGCAAATGTCACTTTTGAATGCAAACAGAAGATTGCAACTAAACTGTCCGGGAAATCAATAGAAGACAACGGAATTAATTTAGTTGTATGCAAGTAACAATACT